GTGGGGAACAATGCGTAATATATTGTCGGAATTGGAGATTCGCGATAACCGGCGGCGTTGCGGAACAGGTTTATGTAATGATGGGGCTGAGCCGGGCCGGGCGCGGGCGGGTACCGACCCGGGTACCGAGCACCGAGCGGCGGGCACCGGGCGGGGCGGGGGCGGGGCGCGCACCGATACCGATGGGCGGCCGCAGACGCACGTACTACACCTCCCCGTCGTGGACGTCGCACACCGGCCAGCGGCGCGACGTGGCGCGGCACTCGTGGGGGGACGTAAAAGTGGGTCAAGCAAAAACCGCAGCAGAAAAATATAAAGTAGAATCGAGCGGGGCAGCATGAGCGGGTTGACGCAGGCTGCTGCTGTAGCCCCCCCCCCCCCCCCCTTCTACTGATTCACGGTCCCGGCAGCGGAGACCCTCGGCGGCAGCGGGGAAATTGTGGAGGACTCGGCTTACGGGCAACGCACCGCACGGCAATCTGTGATGACTCGGTCGATAGATTCCGATCAGAGGCTGATTGGTCCAGGGAGGGGGGGGGGGGCAATCACCTGCATGCAGGTGGACAGGCCGTGATGTCGTTACGGGCCGGCCGGCCCCGCCCCCGCACCAGCGCTTCTCATAGACCTGCCACATACTTGGCGGAAAAGTACTAAAAACACAGAGCGGCAAACAAAGCATGACGCAGACGGCATGAGTCCAGAGTAATTGTCAACTTTTTTTTTCAATATAAAAAACGCTCCCAGACTTCTGAAGCAGCCGCGCACGACGGGCAGGCGACCCCCGGGGCCCGCCGCGGCGCTGCCGTGTGGTCCTGGTCTCCGGCCGCCCGACCCTGCCCGGCGGGGTCCCCCCCGCGGCCGACCTCTATCGATCAGCTGTCGGGCCGAGACAGGGATCGATACATCGGTACATTGATTCTCATCTATTAGAGGCCATTAGCGGGCGGCTAGCTCCATCCTTGTCTCTTCGGCCGTGCGTGCGAGAGCGGGATGGGAAGGGGAGTGAGAGGGAGAGAGACGGCACTGCGGTCCCGCCGCCGTCGCCCATTAACAGGTAATCCCGGTATGAGAATCCCCCTCATTTGCTCGTCTTATTTCCGCGAAGCCATGAGAAAGTAAGACTGCGGCGGTGGCGCCCCGCCCACGGCAGTGCCGCACAACATCTCCTCCCCCCGCGCTGCAGTGCAGTTCGCGACCCGTGGCGACGTTGACGCGCGTGACGAGCCATCAATACGTGAGCTGTCACGGCGCCGTCACAGGGGCGCCGTCACATGACTCCCACACCGCGACTCCAATTACAGCCGGGGCCTGCCCCTGCGGTGCCCCGATGTGCCCCTCAGTGTCATTAATTTCTCCTTTCACGGACGCACGGGCGGGCGGCGGCGGCGCGGGGCAGAGCGCAGCGGAGCGCAGCCATGTGTGGGGCTCCGGGTCCCACAGCTCGCCCTTCTCAAGCTGTTGTTTCTCTCCCGACGAAGCTATGGAGCTCGGCGAAGAAGAAGTTTGTGACTTACCTCTCTGCGCAGCATTTTTCCGCGCAGTGTCCGTCTGTGTGCCCAACCTCAGCAGCGGGACACCTCATCCCCGGCAGCAGGGGCTGATCACCAGGACGCTTAATGAGCCACGCGTCTCGCATACAGAGGAGGCGGTGGGCCAAATACAGCGCTGCTGCAGCCCTCTGCTTCAGAGTCTCTCTCTCTCTCCTCTCTCTCTCTCTCTCTGTCCACACAAACACCCCCACCCCCACACACCCTTACATACCGCCGCGCGGCGCCAACTTCTTGGAAAATTCGCCACCGGCCATTCCTTTCAGCGCCCCCCGGCCCGCCCGGCCCGGGAGGCAAAAAGGCGGTGGTGGAACACCAGCAGTAACACTTAGGCGCTTGATTTGTGTTGTCCCGCTGCCCGCGCTCTGCTCCGCTCTGCTCCGCTCTGCTCGCACAAACAAAGAGTCACTATATTATCCCCCGCCGGCCAGCCGGCCGGCCGCCTGTTTGCCGTCCGACCAGGACACACACAAAGGCCCGCCCGCCCCAACTTCCGGCTCCGGCCCCTATGGCGGCAGCGCGACCCCTCGACGGTCGCCCGGGAGGTAGGCAGCCCGGTCGCGGCCCTGCTCGGCGGGGTGGCCCATCCGCAGGGGACCCCGGCGACCTGGCGAGGAGGACCCCACCAGCACCGCCTGGGAGGTAGGCAACCTGGTCGCAGCGGTGCTCGGCGGGGTGGCCCACGGGCAGGGGACCCCGGCGAGGAGGACCCCGTCCCCGTCAGCAGGCTCCAGGTCGGACGCCCGGGAGGTAGGCAACTCGGGTGCAGCCGTGCTCGGCGGGGTGGTTCGCTCGCAGGCGACAGGCGACCCCGGCGAGGAGGACCCTACCCGCAACCTCCATGACGGGCTGATGACCTCCGGAACACGATCAATAATGAAATTCATACCGGGCATCCCGTGTGTGAGGAATGGCCGGGGAGCGGCGGTGCCAACAGCAGCAGGGTCTCCTCGGGGGCGCCACAGCATCGGCCACCTCGTCAGGCTCCATCCATTTTCATTTCGAGGGTCGCGGTGGACAATGAGGGCCAGGGCGTGGCGTGGCGCGGCCACAGAGAATCTGCCCGGGCAGATCTGCTGCTATCCAATGCAGCGCGGGGCGGGGTAGGAGGAACAGGACGTCGGGGTCGGGCCCGCAGATGACATTTATCTAGCCGATTTCATTAATAACTTATTGGGGCGGCGTCAGAGATTGATCGCCAGCGACACATCAATCCGCGTGCCATCGGTCACAGCCGAATCAAAACCCGCAGCCCCTCGAGACAGCGCCCAGCCCCAGCCTCCCTGCTGCAGATGGACCGCTATCGACCTTGCGGTCACGGCTCTTTTACAATTATTGTTCACAGAGGCTTCCTTGCATTCGCTCCGTCGCAAAACCATTTTCCTCCCCCCGCCCTCTCTCTCTCTTCACTTATCACACTTCCTGCAGCCCCTTCCCTCGCTCGTCCACGCGCACACAGTACAGTGGCATGGATTCACAGCCTCATGAAAAATTCTGCGTCTCATTGCGAGGTTGGCAGCCACAGCCCTACAACAAACACAGCCCCTCCCTCCCTGCCGCTGCGCACTTCTGCTGCCGCCGCTCTGGCACGGGTGCGCTCGGGCTTTGGGGCTCCCCTTTCGCTTACAAGAGGCCTATGCCGCATCACAGCACCCGAAACCTCAAAAGTCTCTTAGCTACCGACGAAGCGATATTTCCAGCACCAACTTCAAGGAAGTGGAAGCCATCTGGAGCCATATTTTTATTTTTTAAAGGGTGAGCGCCCCGACCTCGCACTCACCGGTGATAGCCAACCACATGACGCTATCTCCCATTTATTTATTGTCAATTATTTCAATTTCAATTTATTTTACATACAAACATACAGGATAAAGTAGCCTACAAAGATATTGGTATGTTGCGACAATGTTACTTAAAAACTAACAATGGTCATCATTATCGTCTTCACCGGCTGTTTCGTAAAGCAGATCGTTAAGATGATCTGCTGGTTTCACCTGCAATCAAAAAACTTCATGTTACGCAAGCATACAGACACACCCCATTACAACCCTTGTATCCAAAAAACCTACCCAGTCCTTTTTGAAGCATACATGCATGTCATACACGCCTGCAGCTTCAGCCGGGTGGTGAACGTTCCCCACTCCAAAATTGGAGAGAAGGTTAGAAATGATGTTCGTTATCTTTGATCTGTCTTGGCCAGCGTCAAGTATGTCCTGAACCACCGGCTCCAGGTACACGGGACCGCGCATACCCCGAGAATTCTGCGCCTTTATGAAGGTTTTGGCCCTTTCAGCATCTACATTGGCGTGCTCTAGAGCCGACTTGCCCTGTGAAGGAGGGTTCTCCAGATGCTCAAACAGATTCGACTGCTTAGTGTTACAAATTGGACACCACTCAACAACGTCTCCGTCACTGCTTGACCTATTTTGCACGCGGTACTGCAATGTAAAGGAGCCAATAAGGATATGTGTCGCACTAGAAAACTTTGTTAACAACGAAGATAATACTTACACCATCTCGGCGACATTGCTCAATAATCTCTTGAAGTTTTCTATCAATCAACAATACTATACAACTGCGCTCCCACTGACTCACTCACTCACTGACTCATTGATATAAATGTTTGGCAACAACCAAAACTGCCATGTAAACCTACTATACCTTTTTGGATCCGCGATACCCCATTTGACCCCAGAAAAACCTCCACCTCCATCGTAGGACCTCACTGAGGGCCGTAAAAAGGCCATGTAGAAAAGGGTTGCGTGGGAGAAAAAAAACAAGTCCAAAAAAGTCGCCATTGTTTTATGGTCTCCTAGGGGGTAACTCGTCATTTTGGCGCCTTAGGTGAAAATTTCGTCCGCGGGGCTCTCCGACGCACCGTTTCGGCGCTAGGCCATGCTTTGTAATAAAGTTGTCAAAAACTGTAACATGGGGTATGTTGGAGGAGGTAAATTGTCATTTTGCGACCCTAAGGGCGAAAATTTCGTCCGTTTGCGCCTCCGAAGCACCGTTTTCACGCCAGGTCCAGTTTGTCGTCGAATTTAATGAAAATTGCTCAGACGCGCAAAATCCAACGGCGAAATACGTCGCTTGCCCTCAAAATAGCATAAAACAAAAGTTGTGGATCCCCTTTTTCAAAACCACACCACTAAGCAGATGCTCCGAGACATGACAAACTGCGCTTGAAACCGCCAAAACACAAACAAAGACCCCCCCCCCACCACCACCCTTCCACGCTCTGGGCCCAAGCTTCTCCAAAAGATGTAAAAACTACTACGAAAAAGCATCCCCACCTCCCTGACACACGCATTCAGACGCCCTCGTCTCTTATTAAGAAGGGCTACATAAACCAAAGTGAAAAAAAGGTAATGCTTTAAAATTTGAAAAATTGAAACATCAAGTGGCGGGCATCAAACTTCGAAGCACCACTTTTGGCATGTGTGCACAGTAGGGAAACCAACAACATCC